TGCGCGGGCGGGGAGGGGCGTCGGGGGCGGGGCCTGCCGCCGGGCTCTGCCGCCGTCGGGCGGGGCTCTTCCACAACAGCCTCAGGGACTGGGAAGCCGCAGCTGGTGTTCCCGCCTGGCCTGTCCCGTGGCAAGGCCAACGGTGGACGGGGCGGGCCATCTGCCGGCTGGACTTCACCATCTTACCCTCCACGGAACCCCCATGTCCTCCCCTCCGCCCTACCGAATCTCCCGGGAATCCAAATAGTACTCTAGGATGCGGGGAGGAACTACGGACTGAACTTTCAGTTAGGAGAAAGCCCTGAATTCCAGATCGAGGCGTCACGGGGCCTGCCTGGGACATGGGCTTTGATAAATTATTCGTGGAAACCTGTTGCAATGCCTTTTGAGGAATCTGGGCCCCTGAATGGGATCACAGATGTGGGGAATGACTAATCTCACCTCTAGCCTGGCTTTCTGGCTCTTCTTGTATTTCCCTGAGGCTTGAAACCAGTACTAGGTTCCAAGTAAATCTATTCCACGCATTCTAGTTCAGAAGACTGGCAAGGCACAAGAAGGAAGTCTCTGGCCCCACCCATGTGCAGCATACGGAAATGTTGAAAAGACTGCACGGGTCAATAAACCTGGACGTGGACAATTTCAAAAAAAGTAATTCAAATGCAGGTGGGGTCCTAGCTTGATGTCTGTGAATTTGACTTCCTGTGGCAGCTGCACATTGGTCTGGGAAAGGAGCAGAGGCGACTCAGACAGTGGGAGGATAGCAGGTGTGTAGCTAAGCAGTTGGCTGGAATCCAGGGAGCAAATGGAAACTTCCCTATCTCCACTGCTCTGCTTACCTGTACCGATTCCTCTCCCCAACAGATCGTCTCAGATCATCACGTCAAATCAATTTGAGTGACTAGGAGAGTGCCCAACTCAGCATTCAAGACGTGTTACAGACCTCAAATCCCAAAATCAGAAAAGCTCAGGATTAAATTAAAAATCTCCCTGTCTAAGCCCTTCAGGAAAACTCCTTGGCTTTATAGATAGACTTGTCTTTGGTGTCACACCTTGCCTCTACTCTGTGTATTCTATACAGAGAACGACTGAATAAATGTCTGTTACATGCAGTAGCAGAGGGCGTCGTCTGAGAGGTGAATGAAGAGGCCCTAATGCAGAGGAAGGTAAATGCCATCATTTAAGAGAACTGACTATAAGGAAGAAATGTCTTTGAAATCTACCAGATTATCCTAAAAACTTATGTTTGTTTTAATATAAATATGCTTTGAATTAATTTGCAGATAAATTATTTAACGTTTTCCCCAAATCACTGAAAACAAAAGGAGGATGTGCCAAGTGTAGCTCCAGCAGTGAGAACTCCTGTCACCTACTGAATGCTGGGCATTTGCCTGTCCCGGTAAGAAATATAACAGTAGAAGACCCATAGAAAGAAAATTGATAATGTTGTAGGGCCTATAAATAAAATAATTACGAAATATTGAGGGAAATGGTAGTTCAGGGATGCGGTGGAAGGTTGGAACATGAAGGATATTTCTCCAGAAGTGTTCTCTGGAGAAAGGCAGAAGAGCAGTATATTGGTTTGCTAGGACCGCCATGACAAAGTGCCACAGGCTGGGCGCTTAAACAACAGAAATTTATTCTCTCCCAGTTCTGAAGGCTGGAAGTCCCAGAGCACGGTCTCGGTAGGGCTGGTTTCCTCTGCAGCCTATCTTTTTGGCTTATAGATGCCATGTTCACGTGGCATTCTTCTTCTATGTGTGTCTGTGTCTAAATTTCCTCTTTTTATAAGGACAGCAGTCATATTGAATTAGAGCTCACCCAAAATGACCTCATGTTACCTCAGTTATCTCTTTAAAGGCCCTGTCTCCAAATACAGTTACCTTCTGAGTTACTGGAGGTTAAGACTTCAACATATGAATGGCAGAGATGGGGAAAGGGACACAATTCAGTCCATAACAGGCAACTAGAGGGAAAAGAGAGATTTTCCTTATTTGGTTTTTTTGGGCAGAAAGGGAGCTGGTGGTGGTTGTTGCCATGCATTAAGTCAACTTGAACAACGTCAGCACAGGGTCTGGGGCAGCATAAGAAGATTACGTTAAAAGAAAAGCTACGGGATAGTAGACAGTGCAAAGGGCAATGGTCCTAGCTGTGTTTTACTCTAAGACATTGGTTCTCAACCATGAGTGACTTTGTACCCCAGGGGACATTTGGCAATATCTTAAGACATTTTTGGTTTTCACAACTGGAACTCTGCTACTGGCATCTATTGGGTAGAGATCAGGTATGTTGACAGCTTGCCTCAACAAATAGTTATCTGGCCTAAAATGTCAGTAGTGTTGAAGTTGAGAAACCCTGCTCCAGGAGATGGTAAAAGGCTAATAAAGGACAGTTACAAGCTTGTGGTTGAACTGAGAAACACTGTGGCTATAATACTCAGTGACGTGAAGGTGTGTTATGAAGGAAGCTAGTAAATTTAGTAACTAACTGATGATGCTCATACCTTCACTCACAAACATTGCTAAGCTCCAAAAATATGCTAGCTGCTGAGGGTAGAGCAGTAGAGAAGAAACAATCTTCAAAGAGCTTATAGACTAAAGGCAATATGATAGTGCCTTGTTTCATAACCTTCATACCATTTCATATCCATTTTAACATGATACAAAGTATGGAGACAAGGGCAAGGTCACAAACTCCAAGTTCTCTAATTAGATAAAAGTCAAGTGTATTAGGCAGCTCAGGCTGTTAAAACAAAATACCATAGATGGCGTGGCTTAAACAACAGAAATTTATTTCTCACAGTTCTGGGAGCTGAGAAGTCCAAGATCAAGAAATCCAAGATTTGGTTCCTGGTGAGAGCTCTCTTCCTGGCTTACAAAGGGCTGTCTTCTTGCTGTGTCCTCACATGGTGGAAAGAGAGACATCTCTTTTGTGTCTCTTCTTGTAAGGGCAATAATCCCATCATGAGGTCTCCACTGTCATGATCTAATTACCTCTCCAAATTCTATCACAATGTGGTTTTGGGCTTCAACATATGAATTTTGGGAGGATATGAATTCAGTCCATAGCACCAACCATTCTATACAATACTTAATATGCTGAGTAAGTTTTTTTTACATCTTTATTTCCCATTTCTTGACATTGAGTGGATGCCAATTATTCAAGAATAATGCCTCTGCTTTCCCCTCCAAATTATCTCTTCTCTTTTTTAATCTTTCTTTCCTTTGCTTTTCACTTATGGAGCATTTGCTAATCTTCTCTCACCATACCTCAGATTGGAAAACCAGTCATAACGGCTAGCATGTATTGAGTGAGCATGTAAGATGTGCCAGGCACTGTGCCATATTGCATTTAATTCTATGAGATAAGTAGGATAATGATCCTTATTTTATAGAAACTGAGGATCAGACAGGTTAATAAATTTGCCCGAGGTCACATAGCTAGTGGCTGCTTATGGTAGATATGATGATTGACTCTTTCAATCCCCATTCCATATTCTATTTTGAAAAACTGAAGTGCTAAAACCTGCATTTCCCCAGATCATTTTGCATCTAGCATTTTGGAAGCTAATTGAGTTCTGCCAATCAGATATGTTCCTCCTCAATCTGGCAAGTGGAAGTGAAGTGAAAGTCATCTTTCTACTTCTGGTCAGACTGACCTCAGAGTTTTTGGCAACTAGACTCCAAGTTTGGGTCTAGTTATGAGTTTGATGAGCACAAGAGCCAACTGGGGTGGTGGTAGCAGCAGTTTCCTAAACTTGGGCCTACAGCTTTGGTGGTATGCTCTTGGCATCAGCACCCAGTGATGACGCTCTGGCTTCTGTTCCTCTACCCCTCACAAAGACATTTTTTTTAACTGAAGGTTTATTGAAATAATTGTAGATTCAAATGTATTGGTAAGAAATAATACAGTGAAACCCCATGTACCCTTTATCCAATTTCTCCCATGGTCACACCCTCAAAAACTATAGTACAATATCACAAGTAGGATATTCACATTGGTAGAATTCACTGATCTCACTCCAATTTCCCCAGCTTTGCTTATACTCGTTTGTGCATGTGTGTATGTGTGTTTAGTTCTATGCAGTTTTATCACATGTGTGGGTTCGTTCGTCTACCACCAAAGTCAAAATACCAAATAGTTCTGACAACACAAGTTTGCCTCATGTTGCCCTTTTACAGCCCATTCCTAACCCCTGGAAGCCACTAATCTGTCCTCTACTTCTAAAGTTTTGTCACTTCAAGAAGTATTATAAATGGAATCATACAGCTTGCAATCTTTTGAGATTGACTTTTTTCACTCAGCTTAAGTTTCCTGGAGACTCATCCAACTTGTGTGTATCCATAGTTCGTTCCTTTTTATTGTCAAGTAGTATTCCATGGTGTGGATGTACCACCGTAGTTTGTTGAGCCCTTCACCCACTGAATGACATCTGGGCTATTCCCAGTTTGGGGATGCTACAAATAAAGCTGCTGTGAACATTCATGGCCAGGTTTTTGTGTGCATATAGTTTTCATTTTTTCCAATAGTGCAATTGCGGGGCTATATGGTAATTGCATGTTTAGTTTTTTTAAAAAACTGCCAAACTGTTTTCTTGCAAAGAGTTTGTAAACAGAATTTCTTGCACTAAATCTCTTTCTACTTGAAATGCCTGCAGTGGTTTTTGTGCCCACTCTCAACTCTGACTGACCTGGCAGCAGAGACAAGACAAATTCCAAACTCAGGGCTCTTAACCAAGACCGAAGACCAATGAAGTTGTTACGTGTGTGAGAGTATGACTGAGAGAGAAGGGTTGTAGCAGGAAACATACAGGGGAGAAGTAGAGACCATTTCCTTTTTACTGTCAGGG